AAAATAAAATAAAATAAAAAAAAAATAAATGAAATAAAACAAAATAAAATAAAATAAAAATATATAAAACAAAAATAAAAAAGAAATATGAAACAAAATTAATTAATTTAAAATAAATTAAATTAAAATAAAATCAAATAATATAATATTAAATAAAATAAAGTAAAATAAAATAAAATAAAGCAAAACAAAATAAAATGAAGCAATTTAATATAAAACATAATAAAATGACATAAAATCGAATAAAATTAAATTACATAAAATTTTTTTAATTAAATTAAAAATTTTGTATAAAAATTAAATTAAATAAAATTAAAAAGAGTTAACATAAAAAAATAAATAAATAAAAAAACAATATATATATATATGAATAATTAAAATAACAAAGAAACCTAATAAAATAAAACAATATCAAATAACATAAAATAAAATAAAATAAAAAAAATAAAAAAAATAAAAATAAAATAAAATAAAATAAAATAAAATAAAATAAAATAAAATAAAATAAAATTATATAAAATTAAATAAAAGTATAATAAAATGAAAAAGATAATAAGCTATAATAATATTTACTATAAAATTTATGTACAATTAGTGCCACAAAAAATGTCTACGTGGTTAACAAAAACCTGTTATTGTCGTAACATTTTAAGTGGGTGCAAACGACTTTCTTATTTAACTTAAATTTAATTTTATGCAAACGTAACTATAAAAATGCTGAAATAGCGAAAATACAAAATTAGGAGGAAAATGAAAATAGAATGTGCAATTTAAACTATTTTACGAATCTTTACAAAATAAATTGAAACTAGTGGAATGAGCTGAAAGTGTAAAGCGAAATGCGAAAATTTATAAGAAAAGTTTTGTTTAAAGAAAATTCTGATAAAAATAAAGTGAGTAATTTGCAAGTGATTTATTACTTAAATTTGGATTGTGAAAAGAAAGTGTATAGATAAACTGAAATTTCTGCCTCAAATACAAGTATACTCTAGCTCACACTCAGACTCTCACGTTTTAAATAATGTAACAATACAATTTCTTTTCATCGCTAAACGAATTGTTGAAATGTAATTGTTCTAATGTAAATAACACTGACTTACCGCCAACATAAATGTCAACATGAGTCCAATTAAGTTTTGTTGCAATACTCTTCACAGCAAAGGAAATTGCCTCAAATGAGGGTAGAAAATTGCTAGATTCCTGAAAGTAGATAAAAGAAAGACGCAAAACTGAATATTCAATCGTAAGCATAGAAAAACGTAATTGGTTGTAGTTAGTGTATACGTATGTACGAGTATGTAAGTATAACAGTCAATAAGCGCTGATTAAATAGCATGGGAAAATCAAGATGCTCGGAATTGATTATAATTGGAAATAACAAAAAGCGAATATTTAATATACTAAATTTTGCATGCAAATGATTTTTTCTTTTCCGATTTTTCATTTATTTTATTTTTTTTTGATTTCATTGCATTCAACTGACTTCTGTACTTGATTCCAGCAAGAGAGATTGTGCTTATTGAGCGTTGAAGAAAATTGATTGGTAGAATATGTAAATTAGTATTTCAGTTGATGTTCCTTTGCCAAGTATTTGCATTGTTTATAGGTTTAATAGGAATTTTGTTTATACATATTCTTGGAATTCTCGATATAGGGAAAAAGGATGGGAAGAGCCTCTCGGCTCTGATTGGTTTTGTACACGAAGTGGATAAACTTTGGCACTTTCACTTTCTTGTTGTAATATAGTTTTGGCAATCACATGGAACAGAAAAGGCAGGTAGACTTTTTTTTACTTTAAATAGTGTCTGAAGCTTTTTATGCGAAGGAAAACTTAAACAAAAGCTTCTTAATTCAGCTAAATGATCACTTTGCGCTTGATTTTATTTATTGACCACATTCGTTAATATGAATTAACTTGCTATTATTGCTCAATGCAAGCACTGAAACCTTCGAAATGATTAATTATATACTTATGGTGTTGTCCTTTTAAAGCGTCTTTACAAAACTTCGCTCACTGCCTGCCGTCTATTCAATTTTTAAACGAGAGAAAATTTTTTTTATTGTTTGCATGGAATTAATTGAAAAAATTTAACACAATAGAAGGTCATCACAACGAAACAGACAGACTGAAATATTTAAACGGCAACTGAAAAGGCAACTGAAAAGGCAGACCTTCATTTACTCCTGAACATTGTATGCTTGTGTGTGCATGTATGTCGGAAGAAAGAACTGATGAAAAGTCAACAGTGTAAAAGGCCAACTTATCAGCAGGGATGCAGTGTGTTAGAAGCATAAACCAAAAGGCAGAATTATTACTGTCATACCAAACTCAAAGTGTTTGCGTATGTATGTATACCGCGGTGTTCTGAATAACTCAATTTTCATAAACCCTTTTTGCCTTAAGCTACAAAAAGGATATTCAGTTGTTGATTGAGGTTAGTTGAGTTTTTCAAATTACATTTAATAATACATATTACATTACTTATATATGTACGAGTGCATGTAATATTTATTTAAAGGCACATGCATTTGAATTTAAAATTCTTCATTTTATTCGTTTTATTGTTGTAATGACTGAGTAGGTCACCAACGCTCAATTTGTATTAAGCTGAAGGAAATTGGATAAAAAACTATATCCAAACAGATATATGGAAATTAAATTTAGATATGTTTTTGAAATTTCTACGCTGAGGGCTTTTCTCTAAAATACTTTAAATACGTTGATATTAGGCTTACTCTCCAGCGGGCCCTGCCACCGGTATATTCCGACTTTCCTTATACTTGAAACTTATGTATATTTATGAATCAATCGAGGAGGGGGCTCTTGTGTGTGGGGTTTGAAAAATTACTAAAACATCGTCACTGGGCCGTCGCATGACGGGTAACTGTTGCCCAGTCACCACTTTCGTACTGCTTCAGGGTGGGGGCTCCATATTTCTCTTAGTTTTGATCCTTCTGTTTAGCCTGCGACCAGGTGCAGCTTTTCTTTGATCTTAAAACGTTTTCTGTGTATTGAGCTATGTGTTTCCCTGTTACGACGCTGGTAGTAGAGCGACATTGTTTTCCACTGTTATATTTTCGAGAACTTCTTTAAAAGAGTTGTGTTTTAATTTTCCGCATTGGAAAAAATGTATGGTCTGGGACGTTTTCAGCACTTTCAGATATCCACCGTCCATGTATGGTGTCGATTCATCCATCTTGCCATTACGTGAGGGTTTGTTTCCTCGCTTCCGGTTGGCAAGCTGTATTATGGGTCGACTTTCGTTGCTATATTATCTGCCTCTCCTTGGCGAGATGAATGATCGGTATATTTCACTTGCGTACAGAATCAATGAGCTTACGGTGGTCATAAGTAGCATTTTCTTTGTAGCCGCTAGTGTTACTATATTCGCCATTGATCTGCTAAGCTTAACGGTTACGGTCTAACTGAATATTCTCATATCTACACACGGAAGGAGTATGTTTTGCTGTTCTCAAAAGAAACTCGACCTTCTCCGTTGTGACCGTCTACACAGCCGATGAGGCAAGTGTTGTCCTGCATGTCCATACAGAGCAAAGAAGTAGTTCGAGATCATTTTTCTGTGTTGTTATGGATGTGCAGTTGCGACATGTTAGATTCTGCTCATCTTTAAGCATCCATACAATCGACCGCATCGGTTTAGACTCATACATGTAAATTTACAATTAATCACCTGCCACATTACTCTCGATCAATCGCCATGAGCCCATATTAAGTGATTTCCAAATTGTGTGGGATTCATTGCGAACAAGTCTCAGGCTGGGTCTCATGACGATCTTGCATTATCAGCTTAAGCACAGCCTCAATAGTTTTCGGAACCACAAATGATTTTGGTCGAACTCGATTAAAAACACCATACCACCGATAAACGTTAGCTCTTTATAGAGATTAATCGCCGAGAAATGAATTTGGTAATCGCAACTAAATGTTACTGATTTAAATCCATTTTTTGGCCGCCATGAATACTTGAAGCTACAGACAATGCAAATATCGCTCATATGTCAAAACGTTCTGATTATGTATAACATCCATCAAAAAAACGTAAAACTTTGCGTTGAAGTTGCGAGTTGCCTGATTGCAGCACTAGGGTTGTCAAATCCCGAAATATAAAAGGGAACCCTCTGAGAACAGTTTCACAAGAACAGGTCCAAATCCTTGTAAAAATCTCATCTCACTGTTATTTTTTGAGTGGTTTCTGAACTTGGAGCCATTACTTTACAATTAAAGAGAGCTATCAATATATATTTTGCACCCTTGTTTTGTAATGATTTCCATTTCCATCGAGTTTACTAGTAAATTAGTAGGCCAGCGTTAAAATATTTCTTGCAAATTCTTCGTTATCGGCTTTGCAAAAGTCACACTTGCCAATTTCACACATACTAATTTTTTAACATTTATTTCTTCAATATTTTTTGGAAGTCTCAGTGTTTAAAGTTTTACTTTACTTTTTTATTTACTTTTTTCCAATTATCTTCATTTGCAAAAATAATTTTTTTCTCTGAAACTAATCGGAATCGTTCTCTTTCCCGCTGTAGTATAGTATAATATACACAGTTTTCTTTTACATTCCCCCCAAAAACATTTTATCACAACGAATTACTCAGAAAGTCCTATAAATGGTGAGGCATATACAGAGAGTTAGTGTATGAGGATATCACGAACGGATGTACTTTATCACCATCATGTTTCCAACATGGTTGCAACAAGATGGATCGAAACGTCAGTACGTCAACGCAACAAAATGCTTTGTAAACAATATTAAACCAGTCTCCCGCTAACTGACACACGGTGTCATCTGTTAGCTAGTTTGGAAGGGAGAACGTCCCATTGAAATTCATAACTAGGTCAACATTTCATATGATGACAGAGCTTTTAATTGTAAAAGAGTGTACAGGTGGTGGGTGTCGTCAGCTCAAAAATGGACGCACGTATGTGTGTGATGAACAGTGGCTCAAAAGATCCATACTTTTGACTGCTGAACTGTCTGAAGAAATCAAAAATTTGCTCCGGAAATGTCACAGACTGATTGTGGGTGAGCTTTCTGCGATGTTTCCAGATCTCCAATACACGAAATAATAACAGAAACCCTTAAATCTCAGAATTAATTAACGAGGTGGATTCCAAGGGGTTAGCGGGAAACTACTTCGAGTAAGGCATCAAAGAATTGATACCCCGCTTTACCAGCTCCAGCATATAGCTTGCATTAAATACTAAATTATAACATAATTTTATGTTTAGATTTAATCCAATTAAAACTTAGTTCTCTCACCCTCTGGATATGCCGTGAGTGTACTTAAAACTGATTAAAAATAACTAAATATTTCAATAAATAAACTCAGAAATTTTTTTTAAGTGTAGCTTGAGCACCAATACGCTGTTTTTAGATAAACAAATAATAAAATAGTGATTACTTTTTATCAAAAGAATGAGAAGTTCGCAACTGTTAATTATAAAGAAATTGTCGCTTTTTAAGCGTTGAAGCGGTTTTCGACACCAAATGGAAAAGCTGATGGTTTATTATGAGCAGTTTGTATTTCAGCGGGGTTGACCGTTCCCTGTGTGAGGACTTGGATCTTGGCCTTCCTAGTGATAGTGCGCAATACGACTGTCGTTGCCACCAGCTGAAGCTGAGCTTCAAAGTTGAACAATAAAAATCGAAAAATTTGCATTATTTAATTTTAAATATTTTCACCACAAAAAAGGCATAACCACTTTAGATAAATGAGTTTTAACATTATTTCAAAATCTTATCACTCAAATACCATCAAAGTGATTTAAACCACTTTTATTTTATAATTTAATATAATATATTTATATAGATTATTTATCCTTTTAATGTGCTGACCAGTAAAATGCTCTTAGAATACAAGAATGGGGAAGAGTAGAATGAAAGCGGTGGAAAAAAATTTTCACAGTAAAACTTATACAAAAAGGGTAAGCAAACTAAAAGGAAAAATTCGATGCTGCTGACAACGGCGTTGAACTGGTTAAGTCTACTTTTAACCTTTGCCTTTGTAGCACACACTATACTCTTATTTTTGTAGGCTCATGTAAGAACTGACAAAGTAAGAGTATAAAAAATTATAATAAAGTAAATAAGAATGAAAAAAGGAGAATATTCGCCGACTACAAGATAGAGTTCTCCTTTGCTGTTCTGCGTTTCTTTTTCAAATTTTAATGT